AAAGAGGAGGGAAATGATCTGAAACTCTTCATCTCTTTTGATGAAACTTGAATCAAGTGGAAGAGAAACGGCTTCATGTAAACTGCAGAGAGTTGTACATGTCTGCTGACAGATCAGCTGCGAGGACATATGGATTTTTATGCATCTTTATGTTTTCAATCATTGAGACCGTCAGCTGGGATCCTTTAGTAAAAGATTTATTAATAAGAAACTGAACAACACAAACGGTTCAGTGTTTTGTCACTGATGCTGTCTATTCAGACTTTTACAATGATTTGGATTACTTCACACGCAAAAAAAAATAATCTCCTTTAGAAATGCTCAGCTGATTAGGTCATATGAATATAAAAATATATTTTCTTGGTATTGGATGTTCTCAGTGCAAATTTATTTACATCTCACTCTAACAGCACTTTTTAAGTTACTGTATTAAAATCATAGTTCAGATCTTTTGAAGTTGGGTTTTGAGATAAAAGGTAAAAACTATCTTACCTGTTGTAGATAGCTCGTTGAACGACCTTAGTTAAGAGAAAAAAGTAAGTTTCTTTCAGATGCTCCCTTCTTCAGGGGTCACCACAGTGAGTGAACTCGCATGAAAGATTTGTCAACTGTTTTATGCCCAGTGCCCTTCCTGATGTAACCTGGGCTCGAACCTGCAACCTCAGGATTACAAGACCGTGCCACTGACCACTGAGTTTCCGCAGCCCGAGTTCTGACTGGACTGACTAGTACAAGTGCCTTGTACAAATCTAGTTTATAAACCTTTGCAAGTTACAAGGTCCCTCTGACAGAATAATGAGAATCCTGCAGGAAGTGCTACATCTAGCTGCCGCTGCTATTTGTTCTGGCAAAAAAAAAAAAAACAGAATTGTATGCTTCTATGCTCTTTTTAAAAAAGTTAAATCTGTTCCTCTGGACATTCAAAAAAACAAAACAAAGCAAATCAACAAAAAAATGTAGAAACGTTTCGTCCCTCATCCGAGAGACTTCCTCAGTCTGAGCTGCTGTATTCAGTTCAGTCTCTTAAATAGTACCTTCTCAGAGTGGATCAACCAGTTTTGCTGCTGACAACCAAAACCAGCTGATCACATGCTCAAGAAGGACCATCAGCCTAACAATGGATCATTAGCACACTGATGGCTGTTTACTACTCACAGAGGGCTGAGTGATACTAGCAATCACAGCATTGTAAGAGGGGGACAGTTGAACCCGGAGGCCTCCACATCTGTTTAATGATGGACGATTTCTTTTCACAAAGATGGCCTCCTTTACTCCTCTCTCAAACCATCGTTCCTCTCTATCCAGGATGTGAACATCTTCATCCCTGAAAGAGTGACTGCTGGCCTGGAGATGAGTGTAGACCGCAGAGTCCTGGCCTGATGATGTTGATCTTCTGTGCTGGGCCATCCTTTTGGCCAGTGGCTGTTTAGTTTCCCCGATGTAAGACTGATCACAGCCCTCCTGACACTGAACAACATACACAACATTACTCTGTTTGTGCCGGGGGACTGGATCTTTGGGATGAACCAGTCTTTGCCGTAATGTATTTTGGGGTTTAAAAGCCACTGGGACGTTATGTTTAGAAAATAAACGTCTCAGTTTATCTGATACTCCCTCAACATATGGAATGACCACTGGTCTGGGTCTGGGTTCCTCCTTTTCACCTGTTGGCTGACTGGAGTCCTGTTTGGGTTTCTTCTCTGCTTTCAGGAAGGCCCAGTTAGGATATCCACATTGCTCTAGAGCCTGTCTTGTGTGGGATTTCTCCTTCTGCCTGGCTCCTGAGCTAATGGGGACGCTGTCTGCTCTGTGATAAAGAATCCTGATGACTCCTAACTTGTGCTCCAAAGGGTGATGGGAGTCAAACTGCAAATACTGGTCTGTGTGGGTGGGTTTGCGGTACACCTCAGTTTGCAAATGTCCTCTATCAGAGACTGAGACCTCACAGTCCAAGAAAGCCAACCTGCCATTTTTTACATCTTCTCGTGTGAACTTGATGTATTTATCCACAGAGTTGATGTGGTCAGTAAAATGTTGGACTTCCTGAGATTTGATTTTAACCCAGGTGTCGTCAACATACCTGAACCAATGACTTGGTGGTGTCCCTGAAAAGGACGTCAAGGCTCTCTTTTCTACCTCCTCCATGTACAGGTTGGCAACAATAGGAGAAACTGGAGACCCCATAGCACACCCATGTTTCTGCCTATAATATTGCTCCCCATATGTGAAGTAGGTTGACTGCAGGCACAGTTTCAAGAGTTGACACAGTTGTTCTGTGGAAAGTGTGGTCCTGCTGCTCAGAGTGGTGTCTGATTTTAATTTTAAACTGACCACCTCTACTGCATCATCAACAGGAATGCACGTAGTGATGTGACATCAAAAGAGACCATTGTTTCATCAGTCTCCATGATGACCTCCCTCACCTTGTCCACAAAGTCCATGGTGTTCTGTATGTGGTGTTCTGAGCTGCCAACTAAAGGGATGAGTACAGACACCAGATATTTGGAAACATTGTATGTGACAGAGTTAATCATGCTAACAATAGTCTTAAAGGTACACCTTGTTTGTGGATTTTAGGTAAACCATACAGACTAGGTGTGGTCTCCCCTGGGTACAGTCTGTGGTACAGAAAACGGTCAATAGCCTTGTCCTGCTCCAAAATTTTCAGGCAATCTATTAACGTTTTCTTGTAACCACTTCCTGGATCTCTTTTCAGAGGTTCATAAGTGGTTAAGTCACTAAGGAGTGTCATAACTTTCTCATGATAGTCTTTCTGGTTCAAAATCACTGTGCACCTTCCTTTGTCTGCTGGGAGAATGATGATGTTTTTGTCCTTGCTAAGAGTGGTGAGTGCATCCCTCTCCTCTCTACTGATGTTGGAAGGTGGTGGTTTGGCATTGCTGAGGCAGGCTGAAACTTTGATTCTGAGCTGTTTTGCTTCAGCCTCTTTAATTTTGTTGTTGCGGATGGCTGACTCAGTAGCTGTGATCATCTCCACCAGAGGAATTCTACTTGGTGCAACTGCAAAGGGAGACAGAAAAGTGGGTGAAGAATTTATCTGACAGACAACTCACCCAGCCGGAGACAGAGATTCTCGCCAGGGGACTGAACTTTGCAGTTGCACCAAGTAAAATCATCAGGCCAGGACTCTGCGGTCTACACTCATCTCCAGGCCAGCGGTCACTCTTTCAGGGATGAAGATGTTCACATCCTGGATAGAGAGGAACGATGGTTTGAGAGAGGGGTAAAGGAGGCCATCTTTGTGAAAAGAAATTGTCCATCATTAAACAGGGGTGGAGGCCTCCGGGTTCAACTGTCCCCCTCTTACAATGCTGTGATTGCTAGTATCACTCAGCCCTCTGTGAACAGTAAACAGCCATCAGTGTGCTAATGATCCATTGTTAGGCTGATGGTCCTTCTTGAGCATGTGATCAGCTGGTTTTGGTTGTCAGCAGCAAAACTGGCTGATCCACTCTGAGAAGGTGCTATTTAAGAGACTGAGCTGAAAACAGGTCCTCAGACTGAGGAAGTCTCTCGGATGAGGGACGAAACGTTTCTACATTTTTTTGTTGATTTGCTTTGTTTTGTTTTTTTGAATGTCCAGAGGAACAGATTTAACTTTTTTAGATTTTTCTACCTGGATTATCGAGCATGCATCAGGATATGCTCTTTTTATTTTTCTCTCTCTCTGTCCTCCGGTGGAACCAGATATGTCTCCCTGTCTTCCCCCCCCCCCTCCCCCTCCCACACTCACCTGCTTCCCTGCTGCACTCTTTTGTCCTGTGAACCCTTAAAAAGCCTCTCTTTTTTCTGCATTCCTCTTAATTGGAAGGATCAGCTGGTCTCTCAACAAAATCGATCAACTTCTCCCAACAGGAGTCAGGGCATAAGGAGGACCCTCTTACCTCGACGGAAACAAATTGGATTCATGATGACAACTGGTTATTTTGCTGTTGAGCTGGTGAATTCTGGGTTGTCTATAAATTTGTGTGGATGTGTTGAAGCTTGACAGAGCTCAGACTGAATGTGGGGAGCTGCAGCAGAGAGCTGGAGCAGCTGTTATCAGGACTGTGAACTCACTGGCAGCACTCATGAATGGTGGAATAATCTTGGAGAAACTGTGAGCTCGACTTTTGGTGTAAAGGATCAATTCGGCTGTTTTGGAGTTTCCATCAGAGAATATGCACCAGCGAGACTTTAAAAAGGCAGAAACAACAATTCATGAGTTCTGCCTGACCCAAACTGTGTCCTTGATGCCGGACTTATCTCAACTCCTCCTGGCATGTTTAGAAAACAACAAAGATGCTTTGACTGTTTCCTCACCCCTCCCTTCTCCAAGGCCGTGGACATGTAATAGAACCTCAACTGAGCTGAAGATGAATGTCACCTCTTATCTGGACAATGGCTGAGGGGGGGGGGGGGGGGGGGGGCTCTGGACTATGCTACAACTTTCCATAAAATTCAATATCTTCACCACCTATATGTAAATGTATAACGTCTGTTTATGTTGCTTTGCTGTGGTAGGTTTTTTTGATGCCTCAAATCGTGCCCTGTCTAGGACATTGAGTGAGAGATCTATTTTTATACCGTCTCTCCTCATGTTTTCTTCCCTTTTCTCATCTAAGCAAAATATTATTCTGAATAAGAATAAGAAGGCCGCGCTATTTATTTATAGTAGCAGCTTCATGCACTCTGCCCATCTTTCGGACGACTGTACGTACATATTCTCGTTGTATCTCGGTGCAATGCCAATAAAGTTTATTCTGATTCTGATTCTAAGTCAACGGCTCCAGAGGAAAACCCAGACATCCCTCTCTCCAGCTCCTCCTGGGGGTTCCCAAAGTGTTCCCAGGCCAGAGAGGACATTTAATCTCATCAGCAAATTCTGGCTCGGCCCCAGGGTCTCCCCCTGGTGGGACAAAGTCCAGACCTTCTTAGCTGATTCCTTGTGATGCAGAGAAGCAGCTCTCCTTGAATGTTTGGCTCTTCTGTCGCTAAGGCTAAGCCTGCTCTGTGGAGGAAGCTCATTCCAGCTGCTTGAATCCAGGACCTGTGACCAACGATGAGAGCTGGAACACAGAGGGACCAGGAAATCAAAAGCTCTGCCTTTCAGCTCGGCTCCTTCTTCACCTTGACAGACCGGAGCGACACCCTTCTTATTGTAGACGAGGCCTCGGTCCATCCGATCCTTCTCCTGCTCCATTCTACCATCACTTGTAATTAAGACTTGTAGGTTCTTAAACTCGAAGGGGAATGAGGAAACACAAACACAAATGTTTGATTCTGAACAGATTTGTCAAATAAAGTCTCCTTTTTGTAATTTACTGAAAAATCTAAAACTGAAGCAAATATATTCTAAACCTTCATCATGTTGTGCATTTATCCACTGTATTCAGGTTGCTCAGAATATATTCTTCTCTGGGTATATATATATATATATATATATATATATATATATATATATATATAT